TATATATATATATATTAAAGCGTATTTTCAAAGAAAAAATTAAATTGTATGATTTTTATAAATTAAATTGTATGATTATATTAAAGCGTATTTATAAATTAAATTGTATGATGTTTAAAGAAAAAAATAAGAAAAAATAATAAAACTACTATTTATTGGTTACATTAAATGTTGACCTATTTTTTTGCTACTATTTTTGGTAAATAGTTTCTCTCTTTATATATACTAGTGCATACCCCGTGCGATGCACGTGATACATATAATAAATCAATTATTTCTATAGAACTTGTACGTCTAGACAAAAAAACAATAGGCTTGGATCATCCATATTTCACATCTTTTAATAAGTGGCGTTTATTTAAGCCAAAAAATTAACATGTTAATTAATATATAATTTTGCTCACACGTCATACTAATATTTATTTGATTTTAGAATACATATTTATTCATTGATATAAGTAAAAATAAAAATTTTATTTATTCTCGTTCACCATATAATACTCAATTATTATTTTATTATAAAATTTATAGTCATATAATGTCATTATTATTATTTATAAAAGTTATAGAAGTAGTCTTCTTTATGTAATGAAATTCAAAATAAAATTTTGAGTATAAATGTTTACAAAATACACACACATGTTTTTTATAATTCAATTTTCTCATAATAATTCTTTTTTTTTTAAAAAAAAAAATGATTTAGCAATTGCCAAAAAATAAATTCCTTACATAATCAAGAGATTTTTTCTAATTTTCATCCTAAGACTTTATAGTTTATTTAATTAACATACTATGCAATAGAAAAATATTTTACAATATGTTCATTTTTGAAACATAACAAAAAAAAGTGATAAAAACACTATCATAGTTGACAATAATATATAAATAAATAACATGTCGAAATTTAAAGAATAACTAATATAATTTTATTATTTAACCATCACTAAAATCATTTAATCATTTAATGATGTGATCATTATCTTTTAAATGATAAATAATATTAATTTTTTAAAAAAAATATTAGTTTTATATAATTAAATAAAGGTTAAAAAATATTACTCGACAAATATTAATTATAATGGATATCAGTAAAATCATTGCATAAATTATTTAAGGAAAAAATCTTTAAGATCATATCCGGATAGTAAATATAATTATGCAAGCATTTAATGCATATAGTAAAAAAATGCCAAATAAGGTTTGTATTAAATGTGTGTTGACTTTTATTGCTATTATTTTTGGTAAATAGGTTGGCTTTTAATATATATATATATATATAGATTTTATATTTTATATATATAGATGTCAAACTTACGGTGCCTCTGCATATAAATATAACTAGTATGTGTCCCGTGCGATGCACGGGCTGTATTTATTTTCGTAAAATTTATAATTAAAGGCTATTAATCAATCATACATAGAATTCGTTAGGTATTCGTAAAATGATCATAATGAAAAAATCATACATTATTAAAAAACTCTTCGTTTTTCCATGAAAAATTATTTTTTACTTGGTAACCGTAAATCGATATTTACCAAGATTGCTATTCCCTTGGTAATTGTGAATTGTATAGACACCTCATTCCTTCATTTTTTGTTAATTTTCGGAATGTTACCACCATGAAATAAAACTATAGTGAAAATATGTAATATTGTGATTGATACTAAATATATGATTATCTTGTGAAGTTTAATTTTATATCGAGTATAAAGAAAATTATTACCTTAAAGTTAAAGTTTAGATTTTGAGTATATCTTTTTTTTTTTTTGTCAATCATTCTATTTTTTATGCTAAATTCATTCCAAAAATTGAGAACAATTTTGTTTTGTTATGTTGTAACAGAGATTTGGAATTTTGGTTGTATCTTTTGTAAAACATATTTATAAAAATAACTACGTTTAAAAAAAAACAACGATATTTTATAATTTGTAGATAAAAAGTAACTAAATGAATCGGAGGACATGTAAATCACAGTTTTTAAATAAAAATATGTTTCATAAAAAATGTGATAAGAAAATGATTCAAAATGATAAAAAGAAAATCGTATATTATAACAAAAAGATGTTTACTTGAGTAGTGGATTAGCAATTTTAAAAAACATGTTTACCATGATTGAAATGAAATCTTTAGACTATCCTTATTGGTGACCCAATAGGTTGGGTCACCATGAAAAAGACAAAAAAAAATATATATATATAAAAAAAATTAAAAATGAATGAATTTGGGCGACCCATGTCACAATGTGATCTTGGGTCGCAACCGGCCGCTGCTACTTTTTTTTTTCATGCTTTTGGATAAAAGGTTGTCGCTGCTACCCTTTTTTTTCATGCTTTGGATAAAAGGGAGAGGGAAATGGGACACTTGTCTCATTTCTATTGGTCTACTATAAATTTAAATAATAAGATAAGTATAACTCAAATTATTGATATTATTTTATATTAAAAAATTAAATAAAAAATATCCAAATTCGTATTTTTTTTATTCTTTACAAATAGAGACCACTCTTGATATATTTTGAAACACAATTGGAATTATTATATTTGGTTGGATTGTAGATAAAACAATACCAAAAAATTTATTGTAGATAATATTTAATAAATAAATATATAAATAAAAATAAAATAAATATTATATTGGGTTATGTTAGGTTGGGGATAAAGATATGTAGGTTGTTAAAAAAGTTGGGTTGTGTAGGTGAAAGAGAGATAATAAATTTTTTATTAGTGGGTTGGATTGGGTTGAGTTGTGGATAAATATAGTCTTAGAATATTTTTTACTTTTGGTTAAGTTGCATATATTGCATAACTATATATGAAAAAAAAATTAAATATTTAAAGTCCAAATCGACGATTTAATTATATGTATATAATAAAGTGTACAGTCCAAATAATTAAATTTTATTTAGCATTTATATTGTTAATATTGATACTGTGATTATTGTAAAGTCCAACTCTCATTTTTACGGTAAATTTATATCATTATATTAAAATGAATTGATAAGTTTAAAAAGAGATATGGATTGAATTAAAAAGATTGAATCGTGGTTAAATATATTGATATCATAATTGTACTGTTTTTAAAAAGATATTCCATAATATTTGGTTCCATAATAATACTGCTTTTAAATATAATTGACTCCAAATAGTCAGATTTAGTGTTTAATCAAATATTATGGAATATATTTTTCAAAAATATCTAATTATTAATTTATTTTTTGTTTCTTGTTTATATTTTATTTTTATTTTTGCCAATTGACAATATTATGTTTAATCACATCGTGCACGCAGATAATTTTTTAGGTATAACGTTGTGAACTTAACAAATATCTCATGTGGTTCACAATCCATATAAACAATTGACATTTGTCAAAATTTATGTGATAAAAATATTTATGCATTGTAAATGCTCTTATTTTGTTTTAAATAATTTCAAATATACTTCTATCTATTCTAAATAAAATTCATACTATTTAAATTCGAACATTTCGTACCAAAAATAAATCATCCAATTTATACCACAAAATCGGACATTTATTATTAACAACACGTTTCTATGGAAAAATAAAAATGGCTGTCAGATACTTAAAATAAAATCATCAACTTTATACCAAAATTAGATTTATTAATTTTGACTAAAAAGATTATGTACATTAATTACATTAATTTGTGTTAATTTACTATTTTTAGACAATAATTAATGAAATCTAAAAGTGAATTATGTTAATCCTTATTATATATTAATAGATGTTTTGAATTTATGAGTAAATTTTCAGTTTTTCATAATTCTTATGTCAAATTCTAGTTTTTCGGAGTAATAAATATAGATAGATTTGGTTTTCTCTGTATCCATATGTAGCATGACTTTTAAAATTTTCAAACACTTGACTAACTTATTTAATTAATATATTTAAAAGTTAGTAACTTTCGTATCCGTTGTCAAAGTTTTATATAAGATATACCAAACTTAATATCTTTTGACGACAGTTTTGATATAACATTCGTATTGCATATATAAATAAATGAATAACTTTATACTTCTTCACAATAATGATATTCTATCATATTAATTAAAAATAATAAAATTATTTATCAATGAAATAACTTATCTACCAAGGTTATTGTATAATTATATGAATTTGAAAAGTTTATGTAATATAGGATGATCATTTAGTCTAACATATGTCATTTTAAATATAAATAATAATATAATTTTTCTAAAGTATTTAGAACTTAAAGCAAAAACATCCCTTTTATTTTTTGAATAAATATAAATTTTTTAATCAGCATATTACAACACCCTACTAGTTAACATTAATAATCATTCTATCACCACCACGCCCAATTTTCACTTCTAAATGAATTATCCAACCACTGAAACAAAAAAATGGAGCACTGAAAAAATCAAACCACAAACAATTCCAGTCTCAATGTACAATTCAAAGAAGAGAAAAACAACTGAATATTTTTCTTTCCACAAAAATCATGTCATAATATTGTTATTCAATGGATATATATTTCGAGTTTTGAGCCTCACTTTGGCATATTTATTAAAAATATTCTAATGAGTTAATAGAAAAAAAAAAAGAAGGATCTAAAATTAGAAAAAATGAAAAATTTATAAAAATTTGCAACCCCCTTGAAAGAAACTAAAGTAGAATTAATAAAATGATATTTTTTTTTTGTCTTTTCTCTTCACTATTGGATGGCAATCTTTACAAATTTCAAACTTAAATATATGCCTATGGGCAAACCTAATTAAAATTAGGATCCTTTATTAGCTTTTAATTAATACAATATAACTAAAAATTTGGTTTATAAATTCTAATAACCACACCACGCTCTATAAATAGCATGTCTTAGTATTAGCATATCATTCCACTTTGTCTTATTACTTTTCAAAGTCCCCTAAAAGCACCAAATGGCGCAGTCAACAGCGTTGGTCTTCGCACTTGCCTTAGCCATCTCCATGCAAGGCACTTTTGGTAAGTTAATCAAATCTCAAGTCACATTTCGTCGAAACTAGTTTTACAATCATATTTATATCACAAATTTTCGTGTTAGTAACCTAACCATCAGATGGGTCAAGATGTCATACTCTGTGAACAGAAATGCATATTTATACTATCAAATGTAGTATTTTTATCATACTTCTGCTTATGATGTTTTTAAAATTCTGACATTTATCAATGGAAGTATTCAGATTTGTGAAAAGGTGTACGCTTACCTAACACAAAACTTACCGTATTTATAAATATTGTTGGTAGATATTTTACCTGTTTTCCATATATAATATATCATTTTTTAAATAGGTGGATTGATTAGTTTCGGCCGTGACAATAACATCCGGTGCGAGGACCTTGATCGGAATTCGTGCGCCTTCTCGGTGTCCTCCACCGGCAAGAGGTGCGTGCTCGAGAGCCGCCTCCTCCGGTCGGGGTCGGAGGAGTACACCTGTGGCACGTCCGAGATCGTGGCCGACATGTTCAACAACCACATCGAGACCGACAAGTGTATCCGAGCCTGTGGTGTCGACCGTTGGGCCCTTGGCATCTCGTCTGACTCCCTCCTCGACCGCAGGTGCGTCGCCAGCCTCTGCTCCGACGAGTGCTTCCAGAACTGCCCCAACATCGCCGACCTCTACTTCAACCTCGCTGCCGGTGAAGGTAATATGTAATTAACTTCCAATTGTATCTTTTTTATTGAAATAAGTGCATGGCTAGGGTTTTTTTAGGTTTAAGTCCCTAACATTCTTTAAACATTTGATAGGGGTCTACCTCATGAAATTTTGCGAAGCGCATCAATCGGGAGAGCGTCGTGGGATGATGGAGGCCTTCAAGAGCTCCGCGATTGGATTGGATGACCTAGCTGACGAAGCAGAGGCCCCGGCTCCTTTCCCGGACAACGAGTAGGCTGGAAGTAGGTTCACTGGAAATTAGGCCCCATGTTTAAACCCCTTCAACATGTGTAAGTGAATTTGGTCCTAAACGGGACTTAAGTAAGACAATACAAAGTGAATGACATAAGGATATGCATCCAATTAGTTATGTTTAATGTTTGTGTGTGTGTTGTTCTTCTTCTTTTGATATTTTTGTTTGTTCTCTTTTGGTTGATTGTGGTTGTAAACTTGTGTATTTCACCATGAATAGAAGGTATCGTCAAACATTAATAGAAAATTATATATATTGTGGTTTACAATTAATTATATAATCAAATAAAAAAGTCTGTGGCGTGATTTTTGGTTTCGAATAAAAGTGATGTTTGGCAATTTGTTACTACCCAGGTTTATTGGTCACTTTTGGGTCATTGTAAAATAATCTAAAAACGCAAGGCACTCTTGGTAAGTTATCAACTATTCAGGTTACAATTCATCATAACTAGTTTGGCACTCGTATTTATAACATAAATTCTTATGTGAGACAGTCTAACTATCTGGCGGGTTAACCTGTCATACTCTATAAACAAAAATGCACATTTATCCAATCAAATTTTTTACTTTGTCATACTTCTACTTACAATTTTTTGAAAGTCCCACATTGAGTAATGAAAGTATTCATATTTGTAAAATACTTTTTACTGGTTTTCTTATATAAAATATCATTTTATTTTATAGATGGAACGATTAGTTTCAGTCGTGACAACAAACAACATCTAGTGCAAAATGGTGTTGACTACTGGTGAAAAACAAAGAAGTGTGCAAAATGTTTATGGAGAAATGATGGATAACTAGCAATGGTGGTCATAACATGAGGAATGAATGGAAGAGGCTTTAATGGACATATGAAATGAAATAATGGTGGAAAGTTTAATATTAAAAGAGGACATTGAAATATGAAAAAAAAGGAAGAGGAGATGGCAGACTATTCGAGGAAGAGAAAGCAAAAATTAGTAAGTGAAAAGTGTGGAATGAATGGTCACACGCCATCACTACTTGTTTTAAGATACATGGTGTACCGGATTAATATAAGTAATTGAAAGAACAAGGGGGAAGATCATACATCAATAATGCATATGTTTACAATACTGAAGAAAAAAAAGAAAAAAAAAAAAAATACAAAGGTTAAGATGAGTGTAGGAGACCTATTAGTAGTGATCAAACAACCGCATTTTGACTTAGTACATCAAAATAAAGTAAGAATCAGAGAGTAAAATGGATTATGGTCAATTTGTGATATTTGCACGTATGGAGAAACCTAGTGGTATTCATTTTACCTTATCTATAGTTAATGATGTGTATGATGATAAGTGGACTATAGACGCAAGGGCTAATAGGCATGTTTTCATAAATGTGTTGAAGGACATGTATGAAAGTAATATCTCATGTAATTTGTCTGTAAAAACTTAGAACAAGACTTTGAGGCAAACTTCCTTTTCACCACTTAAACATTTATATTTTCTCAAGGTAAAGTGTAATAAATATAAAAGATTGAGTTCGAAAGAGGAAAAGAAAAGTAAAGAAAAAGCTTATTCGGCTCCGTCGATCCCTTCTTCCCAGCTTTCTCCCTCGTTGCTCGTGTTTCTAGCCTCAAAAGCTCTCCAAAGTTCTGAAAATTAGGTCCCAGCCCCTTTAAAAATGTGTCCAAGTGTTCCTTAAATAGTTGAGGTCGAGTCATAATCGAAATAGGTCAAAAAAACCGTAAAAATAGGAAAACGCGCAAAATCTGATTCTGACCCGCCCAGACTCACACGACTCGTGTCAGGGGTCACACGAGTCGTGTGTAAAAGTCGAGAGCTTCATTGGCGACCCGTCGAACGACACGAGTCGTGTCGCTGGCTCACACGGCTCGTGTGCACCTGGGAGATCAAAACAGCTCCAAATCGTCGTTTTCAACCCCTATAAATACCCTTGGTTGTCACGGATAAGTTAGGTTTATTTAGGGATAATATTTCATGTAGTTATCTTTAGTAACTAAATATTTGATTTGATTTTATCCTTATCTCTTGTAATCTCTATATGTACCCTATAGACTTGGTTTTTTACGAGCAGATGAAAATAACAGAAAAGAGATCTCTTTCTCCATGTCTTCTCTCTTTATTTCAGCATGGTATCAGAGATGTGAAGAACATCAGACCTATTTTTTTTTTTTACAAAACATCATATTCTTTGCTTTCATCATGTCATCTAGCACGGGATCTCAACCAAATTATAAAACAATCTCACCATACGACATCACCTCGAGTGATAATCCCGGTTGCTTGATCTCTACGGTTCTTCTCACGGGACAAAATTATATCAAATGGTCCTCATCGCTCCGGACCGCTCTCCGGGCACGCAAAAAATTCGGCTTTCTCGATGGCTCTATTTCCAAACCGGCCGACAACTCCCCGGTCCTCGAAGATTGGTTCGTCAATAACTCGATGTTGGTCTCATGGATAAAGAATACGATCGATCCGGTACTCTGCCCTTCCATTCCTCAAATTGAACTCGCCAAAGACCTGTGGGATCATCTCCGTCGCCGTTTCTCCGTTGTTAACGGCACTCGAATTCAGCAATTGAAAGGTGAATTAGCCTCTACAGTACAAAAAGGTATGACTGTCAGTGCATATTATGGCAAGCTACGCATGCTATTTGACGAATTAAATTCTTATCAACCACCGATTGCGTGTACCTGCGGCCATGCTCGTGAATTTGAAGCTCGGAGAGGTGCAGAAGAAACTCACCAATTCTTACTCGGTTTGGATAAAGAAGTGTATGGGTCGGCCCGCTCTGGTCTTTTGGCCCAAGATCCTTTACCCTCTTTGGATCGGGTTTATTCGGTCATCTCACAGGAGGAAAGATTCTCCTCCCCTTCCGCTCCGACCGCCGACGCCATGAGCTTCGCCACCTCTGCAACCCGTCAATCGTCTTCCCGTCCTCCGCGTTCTTCTTCTTCTGCTCGACAGTGCCTTCTCTGCGGCCGATCTGGACATGAAGCCCCAAATTGTTTTCGGGTCAAACCCTGCCCTCACTGTCATCGTACGGGCCATGACCCTCGTCGCTGTTTCGAGGTCGTCGGATATCCGGCGGGCTGGACAGGCAAGTCTTCTTCTCCGGCGGGGCAAGGGCGATCGAGCGGCTCATCTCCTTCTTCTGCTGGGACTGACCGAGGATTACTTCCCTCAAATTCTGCCAAATCGCACGCTACAGCTCTTGTTAGGGCCAATTCTGTTGGGTCGGGTCTTGATGGGCCTAGTAATATTGGTAGTAATATTGGTCCTTCTCTTCAATTTGGCACTTATAATGCTAATCATGTCCCAGCTGGTACAGGTTTGAGCCCGGAACAATGGCAAGCATTGGTAAATATCGTACGCCCAAATAAATCTGAGACTTCCTCTTCTACCAATTTAACTGGTAAGGATTATTCCGGTAATTGGATGTATGATTGTGGCGCTACACATCACATGACCG